CACCACAGGCACAGGAGGCTGCCACATTCAGCTCCCCTTGACCCACCTAAGGGATGGAGCTTGAGATGTCTTGAAGGGAAAAGTGAGCCGATGCCCCTGATTTCATGTGGCAGTCACACCTATAGAAGGAGGTGATGCCCCAGCATGGAGATCACAGGGTCAGCCTCAGGTCAGCCTTAGGTGGGCCTTTCCTGTGCATTAGGTACTCCTGGGCCCACCATGATTTTTATCAAGCTGCCCCGTGGGGCTCACAGAGGATAGAATAAAAGCTGAAAACGGCATGGCCATGGGTCCCAGGAGATTTTGTGAACATCAAAATGGCTAGAAATCAGCTGCAACTCCAAGGCCATTTCCACGCAACCCCAAAGTCACAATAAGCCTCCTGGAAGAGCCTGGACGGAGCAGGGCCCAAAGGGGAAGCACTAGCATGGTCCGGAGGTCTCTGGGAATGGCGGCACCTGAGCTGTCCCATAACCTGAAATGAGCATGCCCGGATGGTTGCTGGACTGTTCCTCTCATTCACATCAGGACTCTTGGAGCTTGTCTTCTAGGCAATCCATCTTTTTCTCACTGGGTTGGGGTGAGTCATACAACTGTTAGCAAGTGTTGGCACATCTTGGCTCACAGGCCAAATGTGGCTTAGGACTTTTTCTTGCACTGGCCCCTGTCAAGAATGACTTTTTACCTTGGTCAGTGTGGACAAAAGCCAAAGGAAAACTAATAATTGGAAGTGCGCAATGATTGTGTGGCATTTGAGCTTCAGTCATATATGTAAGTTTGGTGGAATGCAGCCTCACTGCTCCCACAGGGGTCATCCGTGGTCACAGCCTCACTGCTCCTGCAGGGGTCATCCATGGTCACAGCCTCACTACTCCTGCTAGGGCCATCTGTGGCAGCTCCTTTGATGCAGGGAGAAAGTGAAAAGACTGAATCTTGAAAGCCTAATAATCTTACTCTGTGGCTCCTGACAAAGTTTACCGACTCCTACTCTACAGAGGGCTTGGTGAATTAAGAGTGTTGGAGTTGGTTAGAGGTGATGCAAGCCTTTAATCCCAGCACTTGGGAGTCAGAGGCAGGCAGAATTCTGAGTTCAAGGCCAGCCTGGTCTACAGAGTATGTTCTAGAACAGCCAAGTCTACAGAGAAACCCTGTCTCAAAAAAAAAAAAAAAAAAAAAAGTGAGTATTGTTCACACTCCTAAGAAATGAAAAGATGACCGGAATGGAGCTAAAAGGGAGAATACCTCATGGGTGACCTGTGCAAAGCCTTCTGTCCCCTCCTTGAGCCTCCCAATTCCACCAAAACAAAGATAGATAAAGGCAATCTGGAGTCCATAGGGGAACCCACAGCCTCTCAGGGCTCCAGTGACGACACACACGGCCCTGTGTGGCCCCTCCGTGGAGTCCATCTGCGGCTGCAGGGTTCACTCTGAGTTGTGGACACAAGCTCTCTCTGGCCTCTGCCCACCCACCCCCGATTCTCCTCTGCAGGACTTACACCACAGGATCGATGGGTTCCGGGCATCCCCGCCTTTGGAGGGCAGCCGCTTCCACTATGGCTTCAACTCCAGCTACCTGAAGAAAGTGGTGTCCTACTGGAGGAACGAGTTTGACTGGAGGAAGCAGGTGGAGACCCTCAACCAGTACCCTCACTTCAAGACCAAGATTGAAGGTGAGTTCCCAGACCACCAGCCTGGCATAGGGGTGTGTGAGTCACAGGAGCAGCCTTCCTGTGTGACGTGAGTGACCCCGAGTCAGCTGTGCTGTAGCATCCCGGGATCAGTGGAAGCTCACCGAGATGTGCTTGAAAGTTTTTGAATTGTTTTCCTCATTGCTCTAACATAAAACCTGACAAAGACAACTTAAGCATCAGTGGGTTTATTTTGGCTCCTGGTTTGAGGGTACAGTCCATCATGACAGGGAAGCCACTGCAGAGGGAGGGGGGTGATGTCATATTGGATCAGTAGTCCAGAAGCAGCAGAAAGGAATGTGATTGTCTCATTTTCTCCTTCCTTCCATGTTTTAGTCAGTCTTTTGATCACCCACGCCGCCCGTATTCAGGACAGGTCTTCTTGCTTCTCTTAAGTCTCTATGGAAACAACCTCACACATCTCCGAGGTGATCCCCAAACCAACCAAGTTGGCAATAAAGATCACAGATGTAACCCCAGAAATGTGGAGTCAGGGGGTGGAGATCCTTGGGGGCTCCCAGCCCAGGCAAAACAACTTGGTTCCACTTTTAAGAGAGTGGTTGACCCTCTCTTAAAAGAGTAAAGCAGAATATTAGAGAAGGACTCCTGGTGTCCTCCCCTGGAAGAAACACACACACACACACACACACACACACACACACACACCAGCTTAAGGAAGGAAGGGTTTATTTCAGCTAACAGTTCAAGGGTGCTGGCCATCATGGTGACATCATGGTGGGAGAAGGCTGAAGCAGCTGGTCACCCTGCATCTGCAGCCAGGAAGCACAGAGCAATGAATCCCTGTGCTTAGCTGGCTTTCTTCTTCTGAGTCAATCCAGTCAGCCAGGCCATGGGCTTGTGCTGCCCACATTTACGATGGGTGGTCCCACCTTAATTAACCTAGTCTACATAATCCCTCATGGAGACTCCTCTCCTACATGACTCTCCATCAAGTCACAAGTCAGAGCAGCTGTCACAAACCTTAAAGACAATCAGGTGTGGAAACACTTCAGAAAGCCAGAGCCACTGTGTAAACTTCAAGTTCACATTCTCTGTGACAAAATACACAGACCCTGATGTTAGAACAAGAGCCCCGTAGAGGAGGAAACAGGACAGGCAATACCCAGGATGGCACTAAGCAATATTTCCCTTTGGGGGAGAGGAGGTGGCAAGCTTGGGAGCTCAGCCTCAACTCACTGTCTCCCTAGTAACCGTAGTTACTAGAGTGTTACAGCACAAGGCCTCCTCGGGGTACAAATGATCAAAAAGGACAGTTCCAGCTTTGAGTTCACCTTGGACAGTAACCCACTAAGACCACCCTGTGTGATCTAGCGGGACTGGCAGCCTGTGCTGGGCCTGGTGTTGCAGGATGTTCTGCTGGGCCAGGGTTTGTGGTTCTCTGCATCAGCCACGGTGCTATTTGGTGGCCTTGGTCCCCAGGCGCAACAAGTCTCCAGCTAGATTCCTTTCCCGTGCTCCCCAGTATAGGTTTGGTCCAATAAGGCTCCTACCTCATATTTGTTGCCATACTCCTGCCTCATAATGGACTTTTCCAGGTCCCTCTTTCCCCCAAACTCTGACACCTGGTTCACTGATTGATTTTAGCCCGACTTTTTGTAAAAGCTGGATCACACCACAGATATGACATGGTAGTGAACTCTTCTGTACGTTAGATGAGCACACGGATTGCAATTACTTCACAGTACTGCAGTGCTCTGCTGAGTGCAACCCACGGTTTCGGGGCCCATGGGCTTCTCAAAGCCCCGATGTCTTCTCAGTGAACAAGTGCTTAGGAAGCCCTGCTGTAAGCCAGGCTCTGTCCTGGGCCATGGGAACCCGGAAGTGCCTTCCCAAGTTTTTGGGCACTTCCCAAGTGCCCTCCAGAGAGCACACTCAGGGTGACTGGGAGGTCAGCGAGGACATGCACATAGCCAGAGCACACGGTAAGCACCCCACAGCGAGACTTGCTATGACTGTCATCAGTGCCTTGGGGCCACCAAGGGCACAGCACTTATTCTCTTCCAGGACTGGCACACAGGGAAACAAGGTCCCCAGACCCCAGCCTCCCCAGCAGGACCCTCCTTCCCTCACCCTGACTGTGCTCTGTCCCCAGGGCTGGACATCCACTTCATCCACGTGAAGCCTCCCCAGCTGCCCTCAGGCCACACCCCAAAGCCCTTGCTGATGGTGCACGGCTGGCCTGGCTCCTTCTATGAGTTTTACAAGATCATCCCGCTGCTGACTGACCCCAAGGCCAATGGCCTGAGTGACGAGCATGTGTTTGAAGTCATCTGTCCCTCCATTCCTGGCTATGGCTTCTCAGAGGCATCCAGCAAGAAAGGTACAGTGTGCCAGAGGGTGGCACTTCCCAGACTGTGCCTCCTATGGCCAAGATGCCACCATGATGAAACAAGGTAGCTAGACAGTTGGGGGAAAAAAAGAGTCCGAGGGACATTTTAGTTTCCATATGGCCAGTTCTTTAGGAGCATGAGTCAAGGGGACAAATGAAGCTGCCTAGCACTGCTCAGGCCTGGACTCTCATACTTGCTGCTCGGGCGAGGGCCAGCTCCATACCTGGGCCATGCCCTGATCTAGGCCAGCATGGCTAATAGAGCCCTTGTGCTGTGTCTAGCCAAGCTCTGCACCTACCTGCCTGCTGGCACAGTAGCAGCTATGGAATCACGGCCCTGCTCTGAGGAAGGCAGCTCTCACCACCTTTCCCTGTGTGGGGGACACTTCCTTGCAGCTCTAAGATTCCTTCTAGACTTCTGTGCAGCTCTGTTGTCCCAGCTTGGAGGGAGGCAGGTCTGGAGAACTTCACAGGCACCTGAGTGCTCCAAAGGCATGGTCATGACTCCCCTGTCTGTCCCCTTCACACTCAGGCTTCAATACGGTGGCCACTGCTAGGATCTTCTACAAGCTGATGTCGAGGCTGGGCTTCCAGAAATTCTACATTCAAGGCGGGGACTGGGGCTCCCTCATCTGCACCAACATGGCCCAGCTGGTTCCCAAGTGAGTCAATGAAGTCAAATGGGCATGGCACAGCCTCTCCAGGATCTGTGTGTATACAGCATCTACGCAGGACACAGGGTTGTTCACCCTAGGCAGAGTTAGACTTGGAGCTCCCTCTAAGCCAAGTCCTCCATGGTGACCCAGGGCAGAAGAGGGACTTCTCTCCCACCAACATCTGAGAATGGAACACACCGGCCCCACCCTCCTCCTGGGATAACACAAGCATGGTGGCCTGTGGACTGGCACCTAGGCAAAGCCCAGGGAGCAGAGATACAAGCAACGTCATGGATGTCCAACCTTCTGACACTGAAATCGGATATTAGCTACAATGGACTAAGTGGCATTCAGACTTTTCCTAGTACACATGAGGCCCCACGGGTGGCAGGATGGACACACTTGATAGACTTTCATGGTGGTCAGAACTCTTTAGAAACTGTCCTTTCCTGTCCCTCACCTCCAAGTCCCTGGATTCCCAATGGGACAGATTGCTGAAGGAGGCTGGCTTGCGCTCTTCAGTTCTGTGGCCTGTCCCTGTCCTCCTCTGTCTTCTCTCCTATGTCCTTCGTAGCAGTCAAGCTCACCTGTGCCCATTTCTCTGCCCACAGCCACGTGAAAGGCCTGCACTTGAATGTAGCTTTCATTACAAAAAACATCTACACCCCGACCCCTCTCCTGGGCCCGCGTTTCGGGAGATTTCTCGGCTACACTGAGAGAGATATCGAGCTGTTGTACCCCTTCAAGGAGAAGGTTTTCTACAGCATCATGAGAGAGAGTGGCTACCTACACATCCAGGCCACCAAGCCAGACACCGTGGGTACGTATACTCATGAGAGGCAAATCCCGGGGCTTGGGGCAGGGGCTGAAAAGCTGGAAGTTTCCCAACCAGTATCAAGTGAGCAGATCCCAGCACATTTAATTTGTTTAGTCACGGGGAACCAGTAAAATGTTAACAGCCGCAAAGGCAGATAAGTGCACAAACCAGTTTTCCTTCTTACCTTTTTGGTTTTTCAAGACAAAGTTTCTCTGGGTAGCTCTGGTTGTCCTGGAATTCACTCGGTAACCAGGCTGGCTTTGAATCCAGAAATCTGCCTGCCCCTGGGTGCTGGGATTCTTTAATCCCATGTGCCACCGCTGCCTGGTTTACAAACCAGTTTTTTAATAATAAAGATCACTGGGAACGCATTTGTCCACTCTACAGACAGGAGTCGTCTGCACTGTTCTGGCTTTTCTGTGCTTCGCTGAGCCATGAGGTGGCTCAGTAATAAGGGTGGATGGAACCCCAAAGGCAGTGGGTCTCACCCTGTGGGTGCAGCCTCTTTGCCAAATCTCTGTCTCCAACAACTACTTACATTACAATTAGCCGGGCAGTGGTGGCTCACGCCTTTAATCCCAGCACTCAAGGGAGGCAGAGGCAGGAGGATTTCTGTGAGTTCTAGACCAGCCTGGTCTACAAGAGCTAGTTCCAGGACAGCCTCCAAAGCCACAGAGAAACCCTGTCTCAAAAAATAAATAAACAAACAAATAAATAAATAAAATTAGTAACGGTAGCAAAATCGCAGTTACAAAGTAACAAAGAAAACAGTTTATGGTTGGAGGTCACCACAGCTTGAGGAACTGTATTAAGGGGTCAGAGCATTAAGAAGGTTGAGAACCACTGCCCTAAAGGATTGACGGACTGGTAGGGCCCTCTGGATGTTTCTCTAGTCCTCTTAAAAACACCTGAGAATTATTGGACCCATTTCTGAGCATACCACAGTTCCTGTGACAGTACAACATTGCAGATACTCACGTGAGCTATGGTCAGAGCCCTGTGTTTTGGTTTGGTCTGGGGCTTTTGGCTGTTTTGTTTGTTCAGGGTCTATGATTTTGTCTTTGGTTGGATTGGTGTAAGGATCGATGAAGAGCCTCGTGCATAGTCAGCAGGTGTCGAATCTCTGGGCTCTGCCCCAAAGTCCTGAAGTTTTAATCCCTGGAATGTATTTATCTCAGCCATGTACCAATGTTTATAATTGATTTTCCTCTTAGGTACTTTTAGGTTGTTTTTCTTTTCCTTCCTTCCTTCTTCCTTTCTTTTTTTTTTAAGATTTTATTTATTTATTATGTATACAACATTTTGCTTCCAAGAGGGCACCAGATCTCATAACGGATGGTTGTGAGCCACCATCTGGTTTCTGGGAATTGAACTCAGGACCTCTGGAAGAGCAGTCAGTGCTCTTAACCTCTGAGCCGTCTCTCCAGCCCCTTTCTTCCTTTTGTGTGTGTGTGTGTGTGTGTGTGTGTGTGTGTGAGTGTGTGTGTGTGTGTGTGTGTCTGCCTGAGTGTATTGTATGCATCATTTGTGTAGGAGACCTCTGAGGTCATAAACAGGCTTCTAATTCCCCTGGGACTGGAGTAACAGGCAGTTGTGAGCTCCTTGTGGGGGCTGGGACCTGAACCCAGGTCTTCTGCAGTTAGTGCTCTAACCCACTGAGCCATGTCTCCTGTTCCTCATTTTAAGTATCGGTATATATAGACCCAAGTTCTCATCTTTATAGAAACGGCATATGAATGGCTGAGTTTTACAGCACTTGCATAGTTCAAGGCTCAGTGCCGCATAAAGTGTGCGTGTGTGTGCGTGTGTGTGTGTGTGTGTGTGTGTGTGTGTGTTGTGGTGTGTAGTATGTGTGTGCTGTGTGGTATGTTTGTGGTGTGTATGTGTGGTGTGGGGGAGTGTGGAGAGGATTGGGGGGTGCCTCTATATGGTGTGTGTGTGGTATGTGTGCGCATGTGTGGTGTGTGGTGGGGGTTGTGGTATGTGTGTGGTGTAGGTGTGATGTGAGTGTGGTGTGTGGCATGTGTGCATGTGTGGTGTGGTATGTATGTGTGGTGTGGTGTGTATGTGTGTGTCTCTGTGTATGTGGTGTGTGTGTGTCTCTGTGTGTGTGTCTCTCTGTGTGTGTGTGTATGTGTGTGTGTATGTATGTGGTGTGTGTGTCTCTGTGAGTGTGTGTGTGAGTGTGTGTGTGTGTGTGTGTGTGTGTGTGAGTGTATTGTATGCATCATTTGTGTAGGAATGTGTGTCTCTGTGTGTGTGGTGTGTGTGTGTTTGTGTGGTGTGTGTGTGTGTGTGTGTGTGTGTAAGACACTGCCTTAGAGTGAGTGAGTCCCATGAGATCATGGATAGGATTGGACCCATTACCAGATGGTGTTACCAGGGCTCCGTCCGGATGTGGGGCACCGGGCAGGACTGTGCTGGAGACAGGGCTTCTGCCTGGCCCATCGCTGAGCCAGCCCCACACCTCCGTCCTCTCCGGGACCAGGCTTCAATCCCCCCTTTCTCCTTCCCATCCAGGCTGTGCCCTGAACGACTCGCCTGTGGGCCTGGCTGCCTACATCTTAGAAAAGTTTTCCACCTGGACCAATCAGGAATACCGTGACCTGGAGGATGGAGGCCTGGAGAGGTGAGGCCCCCACCCTGCTGCAAGGCCCCAGGCCCCAGGCCCTGCCTCTCCCTGCCCACCATTCATCCCTGATCAAGGCATCTATAGGGGGACAGCAAGCTCCTCTGTCTTTGTCCTACACATCCTGCCACCCCACCTGAGACCAGGGGACCCTGTGTGGAGGGTGAAGAGGTGGAGGCACCCACAGGACAAATGTCTTGTTCTGTAGGATTCAGAACTCAGCAGCTCCCCCTACAGGCAAGGAGTCTCCAGGACTGTGAGCAACCTTGACTGCAAAATAACAGGACCTCTGAGCCAGGGCTTCTACAGACTGTAGGTTAGATTCTGTGGGTGCTAATTAAGAGAGGACTGTGGAAAAGAGTGGGGAACCAGCCCATCTCCAGAGTTCTGAAAGCTGCACATGTACAGGGCCTTAGTCCTGTTCCTAAGTCTGATGCAGGTTTTGCTCTGGCCCAGAGTCCCCAGGGTCTATGCCTTTCTTTCACTGTTCAGTGACACACAAAGCACCAATCCCAGAGCTGTGGGCAGGAAGAGAAAATGAAATGGGACAGGATCTGCCCCTGGGTGCTGGCATGTGAAACCCTGTCTCAAAAAACAAAACAAAACAAAAATCATCACATTGATTGACATGCTGCCAAAGTAAGGGACCCATGTTTTCTACTGTGCTTGAATGGTGCCCCATGTCTTCCAAGTATCATTCATTCTGTTTTTACCAGAGGACAAACTGAGACGCAGGCATGGCAAACAGTTGCCAGAGTCCCGGGGCTCTTTAGTACTACGGTCAAGACGAGCACCCGGATCCCTTGACTCTTGGTTTGTCTCCTCTAGCCAGTTTGTGTGCTGGCTCCTGAGGAATACCCAGGAGACAAGGAGTTTCAAATCCCTTGGACCCTAAGAGAGGGAATTCATTACTCTGAGAAACCTGGGATCTTGAACTGGGGTGGGAGAATGCTCACTGGAGGGTAGGCTTGCTAGCAGAGACCTGGAAAGCCCAGGAGGAAGGTAAAGGTAGGAGCTGTGGCAGGCACCTCTAGACTCAAAACTCCTGGGTGCACAGGTGCCACCTGGTGGTGAGACAGAGGTGATGGCTGCTGCTTCCCATGGAGATGAGGTACAGAGATGAATTCATGAATGAAAGCTGGTGAGGAGCTTAGAACTTGCTGCCTGCCTTGATGAGCACTCTACACTAGCGATCCACCTAGAAATGGAGGGCCTTGATCCAGTGGACCTATGGGAGGAAATGACACCAGTCATTTGAGGAAAGCCAGGCAGGGGCCTTAGCACTGAGCCTGAGTATCCTGTGCGCTTTCCAGGAAGTTCTCCCTGGAAGACCTGCTGACTAACATCATGATCTACTGGACAACAGGAACCATTGTCTCCTCCCAGCGCTTCTACAAGGAGAACATGGGCCAGGGCATCATGGTCCATAGGCATGAAGGGTAAGCCTGTCTGAGCAGGGAGAGGGGGTGGGGTCGGGAACAATTTGCCCTTTAATCCAAAGAAGGTGTGATGTCAAGATAAGAAGGACATCAGATGTTCTCAGAATCCTGGTCTGCTGGGACAGAGGCATTGGGATTTGCAAGGTCTATACAGAGACCCTCGGGTGACAACTGGGAAACAGACTAGAAAAGTGGGTGTTTAGAGGCTCACATGACCTGTTCCATGGTCCTCCCGGGCAGACAGGGTCCTTAGTGAGTAGAAACAGGCTGTAGTGGAATGGCTGGTTCCTGAGTCTGCCCTTGTCATTACCGTTCCACATGGCCTGCCTCAGTCCTGAGGCCCTTGTCCTGCTTTGGGGACATGACAGCAGAACTTAATCCTCAGCAACTGGTCTTCCCCACAGGATGAAGGTCTTTGTGCCCACTGGCTTTGCGGCCTTCCCTTGTGAGCTACTGCACACTCCAGAAAAGTGGGTGAAGGTCAAGTACCCCAAGCTCATCTCCTATTCCTACATGGAACGTGGGGGCCACTTTGCTGCCTTTGAAGAGCCCAAGCTTCTGGCCCAGGACATCCGCAAGTTCGTGTCCCTGGCAGAGAGGCAGTGACACCCTCCGGGATCAACCACACCCTCAGCAATAGCCCTGGCACCTCCCCAGTCTCCCTTCAGTGAGATGCCCCCTTTCTGAGGAGTGAGCTTAAAGTTTTGTGCCCTGCAGGCTCTGGGAGCCTGGGTACACACCTCCACCTCTCACCACCCCTATGTTAGGTCACAGACCTTAAAACCCACAGCCACTTGGGGGGCTGGAGAGATGGCTCAGAGGTTAAGAGCACTGGCTGCTCTTCCAGAAGTCCTGAGTTCAAGTCCCAGCAACCACATAGTGACAGCCATCTGTAATGAGATCTGGTGCCCTCTTCTGGTGTGCAGGGACACATGAAGACAGAATGCTGTACACATAATTAATATCTCAATAAATCTTAGAAAAAAAAAAAACACACGGCCACTTTAAGAACCAGGTGCCCCCAGCACTGGAGAGACCGAAAGTTAGCAACTTTATCCTCAAAGCCTCTCCCTCCACCTCACAGCTGCTGCCAAGACCCAAGGCAACTTTGAATTGTGATTTCACTCTTACCTAGTGCCTTCTTGCCCCCACCCCCGACTCCTAGCACTTAAGCTAGAACCTTGCTAGAACCTTCCCCACTTGCAAAGAACTCCCTTTGCCCCATACCCTCAGAGACTTTCTGGCTTGCTCCCTCCCTTTAAGACCCCCTTGTAAGTCACAACACAGCATGTCTGTGACACCTGTCTGTGGCACTTGTCTGTGACACCTGTCTGTAGCACCTGTCTGACTGTGACACCTGGCTGTCTGTGGCACCTGTCTGTCTGTGACACCTGTCTGTGGCACTTGTCTGTGACACCTGTCTGTAGCACCTGTCTGACTGTGACACCTGGCTGTCTGTGGCACCTGTCTGTCTGTGACACCTGTCTGTAGCACCTGTCTGACTGTGACACCTGGCTGTCTGTGGCACCTGTCTGTCTGTGACACCTGGCTGTCTGTGACACCTGGCTGTCTGTGACACCTGGCTGTGGCACCTGTCTGTGGCACCTGTCTGTGGCATCTATGGTGCCTTTCCTGAAATTTACTTGGCATGCTATGGACCTGTGCTAAGCAATGTGGCCTTGGTGACACATGATTTTACTTCTAAGCACAGCTGTACCAAACTACATCCTCTCCTCCAAAGCAACCCACCCAGGGCTCTCCTTTAAGGGTGAGCTCACACTTCCGCCCTTGTGCTTTGGTGCCTACTGGGCTCCCTGGATCATTCCAGACTGGCAAAGGCTGGGGAGGCAGCTAGAAACAACCATTGGCCAGGGCCAACCTAAGCCAAGCAGCCCCCAGAATAGTGATGGCACCACCCAGACACTCAAGAAGCTCAAGCCTGTGGAGAAAAGGCAGTGTGGCTGGCTGGTTGGCTCAAGTGAAAAGACCCTGACAGTCAAGGGCTACCAGACATGTAGCAGATCCTGCCTGGTCCCTGTGGTAAGAGACTCTGTGGTAAGGAAATGAGTCAGACCCAAGTGGTTGGCTTCTGATCTAACCACATCTCTGACCTGGCCCACACCTTCACTGAACTTTGGGTTGCTAAATCCCACCCATCCCCATATGTCTCCTCTTCTGTTCCACGTAGGCTCCCAGCCTCAGCCTGTCCCCCATGGCCCAACCCTAATGCCACTCTGGAAAAAGAAAGAGCTACCCAAAACAGAAGAAATGGAGGGGCACCCTCCTCTCTGTGCCTGCCCCTCCGCCCTCCCATAATTCCAGGGTGCCCTTGGTGATGCCCCTCCCATCTTGGACAGAGCAGAAACATGAGGTAGAGGCTAGACTAAGCCTGCATGGACGTGGAAATCCACACATTAACCTGGAAGAAGCATGAGAGATGGGATCCTACCACCAGCCCAATGGGTACTTTATTAACGGTTCTCAATGTCCCTGACGACTGCAGGGTGACCCCAGTCACAGGATCTCAGGCAACATGATACAAAATCTCAGAGGCACAGTAGGTGCAGAGGTGGTTACGTAGCCAGTGTGTAGGAGCCTGATGCCCTGTGACTGTCAGCAAAGACATGATACTTTCTGGTCCCAACTGCTGTCCACTGATCCCTGAGAAGGGGCTGCAGGCTGGGGAAGCATTGTAGGACCCCCACATGGGCTCCATCTCAGACCCAGCTGCTCTTGTCATTAGCGATGCATCAGCTTGCAGAAGGCTAAGCCGTGTTCCCGGGCTTTGCATCATCTCCCCATCAACTGGTAGTCCTCAAATCTGATTAGCTTGAGGACAAAATTCCAACACATCTTGTTTACAAACCACTAAGAACATCATCCCACTTACAGTGCCCTTGCCAAATAATTGGAAGAAATGTGCATATCTTCGTATGACCACACTGGGGCGGAAGCTGCAGGTGTTCCCCATGCTAGAACCAGAAAAGCAGCCTACAGATGGCTCCTAGGGACAGCAGCCCTACCTTATACCCTCAGCCAAGGACCTGAGCCCCCATGACACACTAGTTCCCTCTTCTCACAAAGCAGGTGCTTCAAATCAGGAAAGAACTCAAGAGCCTCTCTGGGGCCCTAGTCCCTTCTGTCCCTCAGTCCTCCTGAGTGCCCTGAGCCTGCCAGGCCAGCAGCTTGCCTGCTTGAGCAGCTTGCTCAAGATTCCTGGTCGATACTGGCCACACTGTCACTAGAATTCTGAGCCACAAGGTGCCCAGGAAGAGTCCCACTGATGTGACGGATGGCACCATAGGTCTGCTGCTGCTGTGGGGATAACGCCGTCCTCTCGGAGGCCAAACCATTCAGAATCCGAGGCACATAGGGCTGTTGACAAATTCAAGAGTCAGATCTTGGATGGTGGCAGGCCTGACGCTCCACGTCCTGGTCATACCCTGTGCTACCCCTTTCTCCCAATGGGTGGATACATATCAAGAAATAGCATTCACATGGGGCATCTGGACCCAAAACAAGCCAGAAAGCAAAAGGGCAATCAGCCTACAACCCAATTCTCACGATCATATGAAACACCAGAGCGACTCCCTCTAGTTCTAAAAGGAAGCACTCCTTCCTGCTACTGTATTCTGGGTGACTGTCTCAGTTTATTTGGGAACCAGGCTGACTATACAGACATGTGTCTGTCAGCTCTGCATCCTCCCAGGCCCAGGCCGTAAATGAGGGATCTCCAGCTTCCACGCAGCCTGTTCTCCTTGCTGGCTGACAGGGCCAAGGGTGTTTCTGGGTAATCATGCTCCTGAACACCTAGTTATCAGGGGCTCGTCCAAGGACAGACCATAGAGGAGGTATGAGTACCCCAGGATGGTAGCTGCTGGAAGGAGTGAGGCTGAGCAGGCCAGCCAGTGTCCTACCCTCACATCTGTTAGGATGGCCAGAAGTCACCACTCTACCATGTGGGACTCAAGGACAATGCTCTACCCTGAGGTAGCACCCTGGAGGATAGAGGCAAGGCATGGAAAGCCAGGAAGAAGGGGGTCTTTCCAACCTGGCACCCCCTTCTGGAACAGGTGCCCTATGCATTTACTAAACTCCAAAAGGGGTAAGCCGTCACAGGACCCCACACAGGCACTTGAATAACCAGTGACAAAGCTGCACCCAACCACAGGACCTCCTGACACGGCTACACTCAAGTCCCAACTCTCCAGGCAGTGGGTTGGAGAGAGGGCAAGCAAGCAGGGCACTGTAGCCCAGAGAAAGATGGGCAGCCATTGGGCAGAGTAAGCCTCAGTGGCCAAGGCAGCTTCTGGTGTGCAGGTGCAGCATTCTGTCTGACTAGGGAGCCCTTTCTATTGACATCAACTCAAAACTAGCCTGCCAACTGACCTGGCGTCTGTTTTTAGTCAGAGCTCTTCCAGCACATCCCTATGGCTTCTCTGAATGGGACCTCACAGCCAGAGTGACCAAAGGCAGCCACCATGGGGATGGAAACACAGATAGCTTACTGTGAATGGTGGGGGCACGTGGGCCTCTGCTTCACTTCCTTTGTCACTGGCTGACTCTTCTGTCTGTGGAGAACAGCAGGGACACAATGATGAACAGAACCGGTCTCTCTGAACTAACATCCCCTAAACAAACAGACTAGTAACCATCAGAATAATGGAACCAACCGGCACCAGGCTCCCAGCACAGCTCAACTAAGGGAGGGGCACAGGGACTTGGAATAGGGGAGGGGAGGGAAGCCACATCACACCCCCTCCCAAAGAAAAGCTGGGGAAGGCGGGTAGGGCAGTCATGTGGGGAGGAGGATGAGAGAGTCACCCTGTGGGTCCAGCCTGAGGCATGGCAGACAGCCAGGTACCTTGTAGTTCCGGGGGCTCAGGTGCTTGAAGCATCCAAAGCAGGTGTAGAGCAGGCAGGCCAGGATGGTGAGCAGCACCACCAGGAAGGTGAACAGAGTGGCGGGGGCCTTTAGACCTGGGAACAAGGTGCAGATGTAAGGCAGGGGACTTCCTAACACACTTGCTCTGTTGAGGAAAGGGCCAGGCCTGGTGCCCAAACTGTGGGTGACTGCTCCCTAGCCCCGACCCCTGCCCCTCACTCCAACAGTCAGAACGGCACCCCCACAGCCAAGAGCACACAGGGATAGGACCCACGTGTTGGCTAGAATCATCCCTAGCCAGGTTTTAAATACTGGGACACCAAGTAAGTGGTCATTTGACGGTGGGATTGCTGGGACAAGCCCCACCCCTGCCAGTCTCTGGAGCCTAGGGCTAGACAGGACAGGGACTACCTGGGGATGACTGCAGAGTTTCATAGCCCCTGGCTCAGGGCCCCCAGAACTGATACAGTAGCTGCCTCCTCCTCGGGGATTTCTGGAGCTATGTCACACCCAGCCTAGCTCAGTAGCCAGGCTGTCAACACCATAGCAACCATACCTCTCCCAGGAGTACCATGCTCCACCACACTGGTGCTGTGAAAGTCGTTAGGGACACAGCTGGCTGGTGTGCATGTGGGAAAAGAGGCCGCTGGCACGGGACCCAGAGCAGAGTGCCCCTTACCCAGACGAAGGAAGGAGTAAAAGAAGAGCCAGAAGAGGCAGAGGATGGGGGCGGCCAAGGCCTGGTTCACAGCGGCAAAGTGGATCCTCTTCTCCAGCTTGGCCGGGAGGTAAGCAAAGTAGAGGTTGTGGCGGTCCACCATATGCTTCAGCAGGATGTAGATGAGGCCTGCGAAAGAGGGGCTGTGAGCTAGAGGTCTGGCTGGGCCACAGTCCCAGCTCACGGGAGGCAGAGGCAGGTGCATCTCTGTGAGTTTGAGGCCAGCCTGGAGATAGGTAGATCCACCAGACAGAGAGCTCCGTGTT